AGCAAAGACAGTGGAGATCAAGGTCAGGTGGGCATCGATGGAGGACGAACTGGATAATCTGCGGCACCAGTTGCGTCTCAGAGGTTGCATCAATAGGCACAAAGTGGCAAACGTCACCGGACAGCGCAACAACACTCGCGCCCGAGAAGTTCAGGATGACATAGACGACTATGTTCAAAGAGCGGCGGATGCGTACCGGCGGCATCGAAAGGCCTATACGGCGCTGGTAGGGAAGGGCAAGTGGGAAGATACGATGAAAGAGTTGGAGAGGTCCGATTGTCGCGGGCTGGGCGATCGTCTCATCGAGCAGATTGAGAATATGTCCCTAGAGGGCGCTCGACAGTTTGTGGCGGGAAAGCGGGGCGCAGACTCGTCAGGAGAGACGGGGTACGAGTTGCCTTGGATTTGGTATAACCGATCGGAGGAGCTTGGCTTGAAGATAACGGACGGTAAGTCACTTCTGTGCAACTAAGACGTTCAGACCAATTCTTACCATTTTTAAGAGCTCATAGTGGAATGGTGCAAAAGCCGTGCACGGGCGCAGCGTTGGGTGGAGGAGGTTCGCCTCCTCGACGAAGAGATGCGGCGCGTTGTCGCGTTCAACGAGAGTATGGCGCTAATCTGGGATGCCCGTCGCGAACCGGAAGAGAGGATGGACTTTGGCGCGCAGCAAGCGTATGCGACTGATGCCGGGTGGGCGGACGGCGCCCGGGCGTATGCTTGCAAACAAGCATGGATTCGTCGCTCCCAGGCTTCGAAATGGAGCGCGCAGTTCAGGGAGCACCGCGAGCTAGCCCAAAGGTTCCTTTCACTTCATACTGCAGAGGGTATATCGATAGCGTCGCTATAGGTCATGTCCGAAGGAGGTGCGGGGGTGTATAGTGCCTCAAGCATGTTTGGTCGCTATAGAGCACGTCCGTACGCAGTCTTATTGATCAATGACAGTACAAGCGGCACCGCAATAACGCAAGACTGAGAGGCAGTAGTATAATGCTTCTGAGAATAGCTTCACGCCACACGTCAGATGCCTACATCTACGCCTCGCGGCGGACCGCAAGCATGTATAAGTCGTTGAGGTGCGTCTCAACCATCACTTCAGTGCAGCGTGACCACGAAAGCCCCGACGCAGGGAGTCCCCTCAACTCTGAGAAGACAGGGCAATGGACACAGCGTATGCGAGCCTGCGTATGCAAATTTCATAGTAAAGTGCTTATGGTAGGCTGACGCGCGGTCTTCAACGGCTTTGGCGCCTGAACGCGTCGAACGCGCTCGGTCGGGACGCGTCTCGGCAACCGCCGTGATCCGCGCACGCGCGTGGCACCTTATGGCACCCTCTCCCCCTCCGACCTTTTCCTCAGCGTCTCTGCGTTCGGCCGCGCTCTCGATCAACTCCTGAGATACTTGTACTGTACTGTGCGGTAATATATTTTTAGGCGCTCCCCGGACCAGCCGCGGCACGCCTCGGTGCTGCAGCATGTGCCTCCTTCATCCCGGTTCTCGTACCTCCTACCCCTCAGCGTCTGGTTACCTGGCGCGTCCGCAGCCCCGGAACCTGCTCACTTCCTATAACCACTCTATTCATTTTGTACTCTAACCATTCATTGCCTCTCGAACTCTCGATTGCGCCTTCGGCGCCCTCTTCTTCTCCTCATCCCTCACCCCCCCTCTCTGCTACTGGTTCACTCACCAATGATGCACTTCATATTGGCTCACTCTTCTCATTCTTACTTTACAGGCTTTTGTAGATGGCTCAATCCATCTACTATAAAAGCTAATATACACCTCTCTCTCTCTCTAGAGGGGGCAAGTCTACCCCCTTTCTCTCTCTCCCTCGAGCCGCTGCGCCACACGCTGCATCTTAGGATCAGATACTCACCCGTTAGCATTTCGGAAACCTTTCAGTTTCCTCCGCTCGCGCCGGTCTCAGTCGTTGGCTTAGCGCCGCTGTTCTCTCTGCTTCCTTACTTGCTTCCTTGGCCTCGCCTCGGCTTCTTCCGGCGTCTCTCGCACTTACCGTGCTACGTTGCCTTTTTGTCGCCGGCTCAGCACATCAAGTCTTCCAAGGCCTTTGAAAATGCCTCAGAACTCTGGGCGCTCTCAGCATGCCAATCACGAATCTAGAAGTCTGGACCGATAGCTATGGAAGCAAGGGCCACGCACTGTACATAGAGGTCTACTTACGACAGGTTCGTCAGCAGCGCAGTGAGCGATACACGCGGTGGGCTCCACAAACTATACGTATAACTGGCGCTGAAGGCGAAGAAAGCCAACAACAGCTGGCCAAGAACACGATAAACGCGAGGGCGTTACGATGAAACTGGAGCGAGAGCTCCGAGGCCACATGAAGCAACCAGGAGGAACCCTGGGATAGATAGCAGACTATTGTACAGGAGATATGGCAGAGCAGTAGATGCTGATCGTCATGAATCCAGAAGATGACTAGATAGATGATGTACATGAGAAAGAGAGATCTGGCCAGGACGAAGTACATTACAGGTAGAAGAAACAGTCAAGCACAAGGAAACACGTCGCAAGAGACAAGGCAAACTACCGTAAAGCGTACGTCGGAGAGCCCAAACATCCTCTGTGCGCTTCCGTGAGAAGTCTACTGAGTCTACCAAGCGATGTCTGAGGCTTCGGTGCGTTCCAGGGTCGTAACGCTAGAAGTACGATGAAAGAGCAGTGCCGAAGGCTTGAGGAAATGAACCCCGACTAAGGATCGAAGCCCGCAATCATTCGAGATTTTCGTCGATTTCCATATGCGCAATACCGTGCTGGAACATGGTAGGCGTTGACCGAGAGGAAGGTATACGCTTCCAGGAGCGCATATGGCTAAGCGCGACATGAGTCTGCCTACGGGGGACTACATATGGCGGAGAGACGGAGCCAGCGCGATCACGTGTGATGGGGTCCGAGTCTTGCTAGCGGCGACGCGTTCTACGTTCAAACCCACAAACAGCGCGTCATTTTCCTCTCCCTACTTGAGTCTTAACCTCCTTATCGAGTGCCATACATGGTCTGGGATGCGTATGTCATGAGAGAAATAAAGATAGCCGGTACAGCTCAAGATAGAAGGGGTGCAGCTGTTTCGGAAATCGGCCTGGCAGTGTCGGACCTGTCCTAATCGCAGGCATCATTTCCGAGTCCCGTGCAGGTATAGATCTGTGGTCCAGGAGCTGGCAGACGAGGGTATATTACCGTAGTCATGTCGATCCAAGATATCACCGTGAAAGACTCCATTCAGCAGAAGCTCCAGGTGTGAGGTGGCCATGAACAAGTTCGTCGAACGGCGTTTCGAGGCGCGTACGTGGGATAACATGGACCACGTTTACCAGGTACAGATGTATAAGGCCCTTCAGACGTTTGATTAATTCGCGGTGTGTGACTGGTCGTTCCAAGAGTCAACGCCGGCTGACCGAGTCGAATAGCAAGCGATTGGGCGTATCACGGACAAGGCCACACGCACCAGGAGGTTATGATGAAGCCAAGATCGAGGGATACGTGCGCGCCACATGTCGGTACAATCTCGGCCTCACCGACTTCTACGAGCCATACACTACTAGTCGCTACAGCGCCGAACTCAAGGTTGCTAGCCGCACCTCAACAATGACTCGTCACCTTGCCTATTTGGAATACCTGCCCGGCCAGAGCATTGCGGTCTCATCACGACAAGTGTTGGGCGTCGTAGGACACTGCTTCGAGAGAATCGATGGCGAATAACTTCTGCCCACGGTGGTATCGCCACACCATCAGGTTGCGAAGATGCCGATGTGTCAAGACCCTGGGAGAGTTGGTTCCTTGCTGTGGGCGAGAGTTACTTCAACCTGAGCGCTCTCGGGCTTGAGCGCTGGCTGGCGCACCATGTTGCTCCGGCCCATGAATCCCCACTTCCGCCCAGGTCTGCAGTCGTCTTCCTTCACGCGCAGTGCCAGGTCTTCATATGAAGGTGCCTCACCCCTAGGGTCAGTGCGTTACACTAGCTTTGGAGAATGCTAATGCGATACCTGGCAGGTTCTCTTCTCGCCACAAGGACGGGAATGCCTCTTCTCCCTCGTATGAAGCTTCTCAGTCAGCAGATCCGCGACTGGACAAAGCTTTTGGCCGACATATTACTTCTGAAGATCATGAGGGGGCCCACGCGGCGGCCATTCTGCGATCTTTCAAAGACGCGAGCCTTAGCTAGTACGAAGTCTCCTCTTGGTCTTTTCTTGGAGCCGGGCTCAAGTAGGCATCGTAGCGAAACCCATGCGCCGCGTGCGCCTTCCTCCTTACCGAGTGAATATTTGCCCCTGCCTGCGTCACCTCCGCCTTCGCCTTCGCCGGCACCAGCATCTCCATCTGGAAACGTCGCATGTGGCGCGGATGACCTACCCCATGATGAGTACGTCGCTTCAAAAGCTGAGCATAACGTACGACTCTCTCATGCGCCTTTAGGGCGAGCTTCTGCATGCCGGCGCCCCCCTCTCCCCATTCACCAGGCTATCGTTTGCCGTCATCCCAACCAGCTGATGGCGAGTGCGGCGGCTCACTCCCCGATGCATTGAGCCCTCCCACTCTGAAGCGGAATAGTGCGTATGTATATGTGCTTCTTCTGCACCAGCGACGCGACTGATGTCTTCGCAGTCAATCGGCGCCCTCGACCTCCTCGACTTCTCGCAAGCGTGCTCGCAATGAGGACGACTGCGAAACAGCGCCTCGGGCGAAGCGTCGTCTGAAACGCCGGTCTACCCTGGAAGATTCCGCCACAGAAGAGTCTAGCGAAGACACACCGTATGAGGACGACGACGACTGTCGGACGCATGAGGTGAAGGAACGCAGCCAGGGCCCGGGGAAGCCGCCTTTGAAGGATTACTACAACCGCAAAGGGACGAAGCTGGAAATCGTCAAAACCAACGTCAAGGTCGATGTGAAGGAGTTTCTCAAGCACGCGGAGCAGATCCCACACGATAAAACTCAGTGGCGCTGCACTTACAGGGACGATGATGAGCCATGCGGTTATCAATCCAAGAGGCATCTAGTCAAGCGTCATGTGGAAGGAAAGCACCTGGGCATTAAGTACGCAACATCGTCCGGTATAATTATGAGCGCTAATCTAATACCAGGCGCTTCCAGTGTAGCTGGTGCAAAAAGTTCGTTCTCACCACAAGTGCTGGTTCATTGAATGACTGATGACTGTAGACGATTTACACAGCGCGTTAATGCTCAAGGCTATCATATCAATATACAGTGCGTACGCACCTTCCACGCTCGTTCCACGTCGTGCGCTCACGTAGCTATTCTCTAGTTCGGGCGAGCGACCTCATGCATGTTCCTACTGCGCCTCAAAGTTCAAAGACCCCGCCAAGCTGCACTTACACCTAGTGAGCTGTCACAAGGAAAAGGTCCGTCTGAAGCGTCAGCCGCGGGGTCCGACGTGACGCTGGTTTTTCATCTGGGCCTCTTCATTCTCGCACTGCATTGTCAACTTGCTATCTTCGCTGATCACTTGTCTGCTTTTACCCGTTTGACTTCGCTGTACCTCGTACTCTCTCAGATGTTCAATATATGTACAAATTGCGTGCCCTTGACTCGATACACAGCCTGAAGAGGCTTATGTGACCGCGCGCTCGCGTGCAGCCTAGCGTATAGAGATTCGAACGAGTTCGTGCAAAGCGGCGCAAAGTGCGTATGTACAGAGGATAGCGGACACGTGTAGATAGCTTGATTAAAGATAGCAGG